ATAATAACCACTAGCCATATGACTTGAGACCTGGTGTGGGCAACTGAGTAACTGAATTGTTCACTTTCAAATTTTTAAATTAAAATGTAAATATGCACATGTGCCTAGTTACTGCCACAATGAACAAGGCATATACAGAGAATACTTAAAGTAGTATGACTGAATGAGAACCCTAAATGAAAAAGTATAGGTAGTGAAGGGATCAAAAACTAAAATGCCAACATCAGTTATTTATAGTAAGATAAAAATGGAAGCAACCCAAATCTCCTTCAACAACAGAAAGGTAAGTAGAAGTGTAAGACTACCATTTAGCATTAAACTCAGATCTTATGGAAGAGTAGTAAAAACAATATTAAATGAAAAGAAAAAAATCAAAGAATAATTTCTATAAAGGTCAAAAGCAAACAGACTAACCAATATATTATTTAAGATTATATTTAGATGTGGCAAAGTTAGGAAGAAAACCAATAGGATTATTATCCAAATACAGACTAATGTTACCTTGAGAAGAGAAAGAGATGGTCACAATTGGGGAGGTAAGCACAAAGGGTTTAACATTACTGGAAATATTTTGATTGCCTAACCTAAGTAGTTGGTACACAGGTGTTCCATTTGTTATTATCCTTTACCATATATATCCTGACACAATATTTCATAAGTTAAAAAAAAGCCAAGAGGTAGTTTATGGTTAAATGCCAAATGGATACTAAATGCTTAAAATCTCAGTTTAGGAAAGGGGAAAATAACTATGTGACTTGGATAAGGTCTAAGAAAAAGCAGGATTTAGTCATGTAAAGAAAAACAAGAAAGACCCTCCGGAGCAGAGAACAAGCAGGGCATGAACTAGGAGCACAGCCTGGTGGTGTAGTCGTTACATGTTGGGCTGTTAACCACAAGTCAGCAATTCAAAACCACCAGTCATTTTACAGGAGAGAGAAACCCACAGAGGCAATTCTATCCTGGCCTCCTAAAGGTCAGTATTAGAGAGTTTTTACAAGAATAGAAATCCCTGTCTTTCGCCGTTGGAGCTGCCTAATGGTTTGGAACTGCTAACCTTGTATTCTAGCAGTCCAACAGAGAACTGCTACGCCACCAGAGCGCTTCACTACATTGTAAGCATTCAAATGGCTGAATGAACAGTTGAAGAGTACGAGCAAACTGAAGATAAGCTAAATGCGAAGGCTCTGAGGATCCTCAACTTCAATTATCTAAAGCAGTGGTCCTCAAACTACGGCCCATGGGCCACATGCGACCCACCGAGGACATTTATCCAACCCGCCAAGGGCATTTATCCAGGGCGCCGGGTGTTTTTGCCCCATTTTGTTTTTTACTTCAAAATAAGATATGTGCAGTGTGCACAGGAATTTGTTTATAGTTTTTCTTTTAAACTATAGTCCGGCTCCCCAACGGGTCTGAGGGACAGTGAACTGGCCCCCTGTTTAAAAAGTTTGAGGACCCCTGAAAAGGATCTAAATGTATGGAGGGAGAGTGTTCTGGGCGTGTCCCTGACTGAGGGGGAGGCAGATCTTCTGGGTACATGTTTAGGAGTTCCAAAATTCTAATTGAGAAAGAAAAAAAGCCAATTTTTATATAATACACACACTGAACTCCTACTCTCCCTGCCAGGCTTTAAGGAAAATATCATCACCTTTAACTTTCAAAGCAGATAGGCAGAATTTTTACTTTTTAGCAAATGTAGCTTATTGGGATAGGTGTTGGGTTGCTAACCCCAAGGTCAACAATTCAAATCCACCAGCTGCACCTGTGTAACACAATGCTCTACTTTTTCAGCAATTGAGTTCAACAATTCATTGCTATGGCCACACAGAACTCACTCAATATTTGCGATTAAGGAAGTTAACAGGTTGCAATGCAGGTGAGAAATGCTCATGATACAGTTCTTCAGTCAGGTCATTTGGGGGGAATTAGTCTTTGTCTAGAAGAGCCAAATTACATAATTCACTGCCCCAGTAGCTCCACAGAAGAGAAGGATTTCTACTCCTATGAAGAGTTGTAGCCTCAGAAATCCACAGGGGCAGTTCGAACGTCCTACAGGGTGGCTAAGAGTCAGAATCTACATGATGGCAGAGTTTGGTGGTTTTTAAATTTTGGATTAGGGTAATAATGCTTAATGATGGTCAGAGATATCCTGTCCTTTTAAATTATTTAAAGGCTCCCACCATCCCCCCTGGTGGAAGACAGTTTAAAAGCTCAACCTCACCTGTTTCTAAACCTTTGGAACCGGAAGATGCAGTAAGGCTGCCTGCAAAGTGCCTTTTTGATGCCAGGTGTCTCCAAGGTTTCCAGGGGCGGGACTATTCCCTCCAACTCCCCAATAATTCAGACATTCCCAACTGTTGGACAGAGAAAGGGTAGGGAGGAGACTTTTAAAATAAATTGAATGCTTTAAGACCATCTCTCTCTCAAGAGGTTAGACCAGGAAATGAATGCCCACATATTGGCAGAGGCAGTACTGTATAACACAGAACAGCTTGGGGTCTGGCACCAAAGAGACATGGGTTAAATCCTAACTCCTCCAGCAAACAAACGGCTGTCCAGCTCTCTCTTTTAATACAATCCTATTATGTACAGTAGGAATACTTTCTTTAAGGTTTGAATCTATGGTAGCTACAGATGCTACTCTTTTACTTCCTAAAGTGACACCCTGATCTCTTTGACTGAAACCTTATTTTCCTTAACAGTCACACCCATGTTTAACCTGGGGCTCTGTTTTGAATCTCTAAGTTTCTCTCTCTCTAAAAACAATCTTATCTTGAATTTCTGGTTAGTCAACCCTGGACTTCATTAACACAGTGGGAGAACACTGTATTAAAAATAGATGTGTACTTAGAACATGCAAAATAGCTGCATGTTTTCATTAAAACAAGTTTGGTGGGCTGGAGACAATATGGAGCTATTACTTAGTAGCCATGAATTAAGGACATAAAAAGAGTGTTCTGAAGTGGGTGAAGAGAGACATCAGGCAGGGCAAGATATGACAACATAACAATTTATAAATTATCAAGGGTTCATGAGGGAAGGGGGAGCAGGGAGGGAGGGGAAAAATGAGGAGCTGATGCCAGGGGCTTAAGTGGAGAGCACATGTTTTGAAAATGATGAGGGCAATGAATGTACAGATGTGCTTTACACAATGATGTATGTGTGGATTGTGATAAGTTGTATGAGCCCCTAAAAAAAAAACCAGTGTGTTCTGACCCCAAAGTGGGCAGTTTAAGAAGGTACCCTATGCTCGCCCCATGCACTTCTCTCACTAAAGTCTTGATCCTTACACTTACACGTTTTGCAGGGTAGTGCAAAATAGAGGCGTCAAAACAAGACCCCCAGATTCCTTATTGCATCAACCCTTTTTAGTATCATGGCTATCATCTTGGCTCAAGTATTTAAGTGTAAATTCCAACCAGTTTCTCAGACTCTGATCTCCCTGTTTTCTTATGCCCTGCACACAGCCACTGAACTAATTCCCCTTTTCATGGCTTCCTACCTATTGGAATAAATTCAAACTGAATCCCAAGCCCAATCTAGCATTATCCTATTCTCATAATGCAAGATTTGTTACCCTGTGGGCTGCTAACTGCAAGGTCAGCAGTTCAAGAGCACCAGCCACCCTGAGGGAGAAAGGTAAGGTTTTCTACTTCCATAAAGATTTACAGTCTAGGAAACCCATAGGGGTCAGTTCTCTGTCCCACAGGGTTGCTATGAATCAACACAGACTTCATGGATTTGGGGGTCTGGTTGCCTCCCAATCCCCTGAAGGAAAGTTTCGAAGGTTGCAGCTAGACTACAATACAAATCACCAGCAGCTGGATCATCTACCTTCCTTTAATGGCCAGGCCGCCTCCTCTGGCTCTTCCTGCACACTGACAGCATGGCCCACCATCTGAACCTAGTCAATGGTACTCATTGGCTGGCATCCAATACGCTCCAGCCAACTCTCAGTTCCTTGGACGGCAGATAACACACTTACACATACTATCACACTCCGAGAAAGTAGGGGGACCTACAAAACTCAAAACCCACTGTATCGAGCCGATTCCGATTCGTAGCGACCCCATATAGGGAAGGGTAGAACTGCCCTAGACCGCCTGCTCCTGTTAATGGGGCCTAGAAACTCAGAACCAGAAAGGGCGGTTCAAACGCACGTAAGACGTAGGTGAGACAATACTGCCCCTCTCTGCCAATTGCTGCTCAGCGTTTACTACAACACTGAAACGTTCTATTACCACCGAGCAGCAGTGAAGTGGAGACAGCAGGACACTGAGTGACCCCCAAACACAAAACAAAACCCCTGGGATTCTAGTCCTGGTTTTGCCACAATCTGCAAATGTGGGGAGATGACAAAAACCGCTCCGGGCCTCGGCCGTCTGGGCTGCGAAGCTAGGGAGACGCTGTGCGGGAGCCCGGGGTCTCCGTGGGCTCACAACCCCCCAACGGGACACGCACCACTCTTTCCCTCGTGCCGGGGCGGCGGGGGCAGGCAAACTTTCAGAGCTCCCCGCGCGGACATTCCACATCCTACTGGAAACTCAGTCCCCACAGGACAAAAGCAGCCCGAGAGAGAGGGGAGACGCCGACTCCCTTTAGCCGGTGGCCTGGGGCCGTCCGCCCAGGGTGGCCGGTCCCTCACAGGCAGACGCCCGAGTGACGTGACGCGCTTCCTGGAAGCGGGCCGGGGGGACGCGATCCGCGCCCCCCACCCTACTGACACAAGCTCCGGGACCCCGAGTCACGGCCCCCGTCGGCTCGCCGCAACCTAAAGGGTGCCATCCTGCCCGGGTTGGGCCTCTGGCGGCCGCCAGGCAAGCCGCCCTTCTGGGCCCTGGGGCGGCTTCAGCGCGGCCGACCCGGCCCTGAGCCGGCGGGACCGGCGGCTGGAGGGGCGGCGGCGGCGGCTTGAAGTGCTGAATCACCACTTTGCAACTGGAGCTCCAATCCACCACGACCTGTGGGCCCTGAGGGCCCCCGCGTGGCACTCCGCTTACCTACTGAGGCGCTTCGGGGACAGCAGGTGAGCGCCGGGGACCGGACGGAAGGTGCTGGGCAGCGCGCTGTGCAGCAGACACGCGAGGCGGTACCGCATACCCCAGCGCAGCCGCCGGGATCACCGCGAACGCTTCCTCTGGCGCCGCGAGCCGGCCTGCGCACGGCGCATGCCCAGTCGGCCGCCGCGCCGCGCCGCCTCCCCGGAGTGGCGGCGGAGCGGCTGCTCCAGGTTTTGCCTGGAGCCCGACGGGGCGGGGACGGCCGGCCCCCCGGCTGGGACGGGTCCCCGGCAGCGCCCGGAGCCCTGCAACCGTCTTTCCCCGGTGGGGAGGACCCCAACGGGAGCGCGTGCGCGGTCGTACCCGGGCGCACGTGCTAGGGCCGCCGAGTGGTGTGGGAGTGGTGGCTCAAGAACACTGCGGGCGAACACGTGGGAGCCCCGTTTGCCCGGGTGCCCCCTACGACGGAAGTTTCGGTCCTGCAGGTGTGCTGGCACCGCCGCTACCGCCGCGCCGAGAGCGAGTCCGCGGCCCGCGAGCGCCCTCTACAGCGCCTTGAGGGCGCGGGCAGTCCCGACGCGGACGCTCCCAAGTGCTGGGGGAGGCGGGGCAAGTGGGACCTGGAGGGGTCCGGCTCCGCCCAGAGTGCAGGCAGGGCCCTGGTGGGATTTTGCATCCGGAGGAAGCTAGCAACTCATCCGAGAGGAAAGTTGAGATGGGCCAAGCCTCAGCAAAATAAGGCTTTCATGGATTTTCACCTCCTGATCTACCATCTTCCCGCTACGTGAGTCATTGCTTTTTAGATAGGACTTTCTCCCCGGTGGCTTGCACCCACGAGTAACCTAATAGTTCTTATGGATTTGCCTTCTCATTGCACTATTTTACGGAGGTCTTTAAGGAGGCGCCCAATTAGGGGTGGTAATTGCCCAGCTAGGTTTCCGTTGAGGCTGACGGAAGAGGGTAACCAATAAACAGGGCACAAAATTATATCATTGTTTTAATGGGAATTCACTTGCTGATGTTAGGATCCCTGGAGCCAGTTAAGACTCAGTGGCCTTAAATATAGCAAGAAAATACTGCCCCACTGCTCAGCCCTGCTCTATCCTCACAATCATTGCTGTGTTTGAGCCTATTGTTATGTTTCAGCCTATTGTAAGCACCGTGTCAATCCATTTTGCTAAAGATCTTCCACTTTTTCCCTGATCCTCTACTTCTCCAAGCTTGATGTCCATTTCCCAGGACTGGTTCCTCTTGATAACACGACCGAAGTATGTGAGACAGAGTTTTCGTCCCATTCTTACTTCTAAGGAGCACCCTGGTTGTACTTTAACCAACAGATTTATTATTCTAACAGTCCATATATATTCAATCTTTTTCATGAATACCAGAAATCAATAGGATGTGGTCAGTACCCAGTAGCCTTTTTATAATGCAGTTTCACCAAATGGCTAACCATTAGTTCAAAAAATGAAGTCAAAAGTACTACACATCTTTTGATTATGTACAAGCACATGGTTTTAGCAACTTGGGGCTATGCCCAATTCTAGACCTGCATGTTGCAGCAGCTACTCAGAGTGTACGCAGACTGAATGGATTTATGCTCACCTAATGGAATTTATAAACGGAGTCAAGGTTTTGTAGGGCCTGAAACGCAATTTGGGGGACCTCTTTAAGAAAGAGAATATAAATAATGAATACAAAATTAAAAGTCAAAGATAAGTTAAAGAAAGAATATAAATTATGAATACAAAATTAAAAGTCAAAGGAAAGTTAATGCTTACAATGAGAGAATAAGTCACAAGCAATCACTTGGGATTTTGAACCATTTCTTCTAAGATCTTAATTGTTTATTAGAAATGCTTTAAAACCGCTTCCCACAATCTGGCTTCCCCTCTGACTCTCAGTAACTCCCCGCTGTGGTCTATGCAAGTTAAGGGACTCTGAAGTTTTAAATTATCATTAGCTTCATAATAAATCCACCTCTGGGGGGAGTAGATAATGCTAACATAAGAAAGGATAATGTTAATACAATCTCAAGGGGTAGTGGTGGAAAGAGAATAATTTTGATGGATTGCAACAGTGGCCTCGAGCACAGGAACCACTGTGAGCACAGCATAGGACCAGGCGACGTTTCATTCAGGTGTGCATGAGGTAGCTATGAGTTGCAACTGACACAATGGCATTTAACAACATTATGTATCCAAGGAGCCTTGGGTTACATGTTGGGTTGCTAACCTCAGCTTTCTGCTCCAGTGAAGATTTACAGTTTTGTAGATCCGTGAGGACAGTGCATTTAGCATCACTGTGAGTCAAAATCTACACACTGGCAGTGAGTTTGCGTTAAATATGTGCCCAGCATTGTCTTTGGTATTAGTCTTTACAGCATCCTTAGCAGAGATAAGTCTGGCTTACAGAGATACAGTTAACTTGTCCACATTTACATTTTTTTTAAGTAGAGCTTGAAAAAAAATTTTTTTAATAAATTTTTTAAAAATGGAGCTTGAGTTTGAACCCAGCACTGTCTGATCCCAAAATCTGCTATTCTTACATTCATTCATTTAATGACTTCACAAGTACTTATTGAGTGCTATCTAAGTCATAGGTGCTGAGGATATAATAGTGGGTAAAAAAAAGACAAATTTTGTCTTATAGAGGTTATAGGTAGGGAAAAGAGACAATAAGCAAATGTGTTGAAAAGTGCTATGAGGCCATCTAGCTCAGAAGCAACAAAGCCCACATGGAAGAAGCACACCAGCCAGTGCGATCACGTGGTATCAAAGGGATCAGGTATCAGGCATCATCAGAACAAAAAAATCTTACCATAGTGAATGAGTGGGGGAATGCAGGGTGGAGACCCAAAGCCCATTTGTAGGCCACTGGACATCCCCTTAAAGAAGGGTTTCAGGGAGGAGATGAGCCAGTCAGGGTGCAATGTAGCAACAATGAAAAATACAACTTTCCTCTAGTTCCTAAATGCTTCTTCCTCCCCCACTATCATGATCCCAATTCTACTTGCAAGTCTGGCTAGACGAGAGGATGTACACTGGTACAGATAAGAACCGGAAACACAGGGAATCCAGGGCAGATGATCCCTTCAGGACCAGTGGTATGAGTGGCGATACTGGGAGGGTAGAGGGAGGGTGGGTTGGAAAGAGGAAACCGATTACAAGGATCTACGTGTGACCTCCTCCCTGGGTGATGGACAACAGAAACGTGGGTGAAGGGAGACGTCGGACAGGGCAAGATATGACAAAATAATTTATAAATTATCAAGGGTTCATGAGGAAGGAGGAAGCTGGGAGGGAGGGGAAGAATGAGCTGATACTAAGGGCTCAAGTAGAAAGCAAATGTTTTGAGAATAATGAGGACAATAAATCTACAAATGTGCTTGACACAATGGATGTATGTATGGATTGTGATAAGAGTTGTACGAATGGATTGGGATAACAGTTGTATGAGCCCCTAATAAAATGTTAAAAAAGAAAAAAAAAAAAAAAAAGAGTTGTACGAGCCCCCCAAAAAGGATTTAAAAAAAAAAAAGAAGTAACCATTTCCTGATTTGAACTGTCAGAGCAGTTTGCTACTTTCTAAAAGCACTCCTTGAATCTAACTTTCATACTTGATTATAATAACCTTAAGATTAAAATGATGTCCTAGTCCAGGACCACGTAGTTCACCAAAGAAGTCATTTAGGTACTCAGCAAACATGAAGAAATGTTCGCAATACTAGCCATCTGAGAGCTGCAAGTCAAAGCAGTGATGAGATACCACCTTCCCCAGCATGGTAGCAACAGTGGAAAACAAAAACAACCAACCCTGGGTGCTGGAGGAGCCATGTGGAGACCCCTGTCAGTGCTGAGATGCTTCAGTGCCACTGGATCCAAAGACTTTCTACCCACTGGCCTTTGATTGTCCTGCACTTGGTGTCATTGCATGTGCTTCATGAGTCTGAAGAGGACTTTAAATATTGGTGTCAGACATATGGGCTAATATTGGACTTATGAACTTGATATGAACTGGGTTGGATGCTTTCTTTTGTGTGTGTGTGGGGATGATTTCTTAATGTACAATTACCTTTTATATAAAACACTCATACCAAAAAAAAAAAACCCAAACAAACGAGAAAACATCAAATTCAAACATAGATCGGAACCCACATAAAACAGTACATACAACCTCTGTGGAAAGCGGTATGGCACTTCCTCTAACAGTTGGGAATGGGAATAGCCCTGATCTAGCAATAGCCCCACAAAAATAAAGAATGTAGCATAAACATATATATGCACACCCATGTTCAATGCAGCACTATTCACAATAAACAACCTAAATGCTCATCTGTGAAAAAATGTATAAACTTTGGTACATACACTCAATAGAATACATGATTAAAGAATAATATTGGAACTGTGAAACACCCCATAGTTGGTAATGGATTTGGAGGATATAGTAACGTGTATAGTTAGTCAATTTTAAAAAGACAAATAGTTGTTTCGTTTTCTTTTGTTGCTTTGTTTTGCTCTGTCTTGTTTTTATGTGCATATTATTATCTCTACAGGTCTATCTAGATAAGATAGGCTGGATAAACAATCTGGAGGAGAAAATAACAGGACAGATTGTGGGAAACAGAAAGATTTCTCCCAAGTCATCTCCCCCAAGTATATGTTAGACTTAGGACACTGCTTGCAGCTAACGGTAAATGATAGTTAAGTTACTTCCCTTAAGGCAGTCAGCTGCCAGCTACTGTCTAGTCCCACCACAGGTAGGCCTGCTCCTTGCTGCTAAGGACAATGGGCTACTTCTCTCTAAAGGTTTGCAGTCATGGATTTGGTTCCTATAGGTGGGGTACACACTCTACTGATAATGGTTTCTATGGAGATCCAGGGAACAGGTCAAACCGCTTAGTGACATCCAAAGTTAGGCTGCCATCCTGAATCTAGGATCCGCCCATCTTCCCACATGTATACCCCCAATCCCTCCTCTTCCTATTGCATGTATACCCCTAGATCACCTCCTCCCATGACTGTATTACCTATAGCACAACCCTTTCCTGTGACATATGTCATCACCTGTAATTAGGGGGCTTGCATATCCCCAGAGAATATAAAAGCAT